TTCCCGTCTAATCGTACAGTTTCATCACAATCTTTGACTTATGGTTATGTAGCTTTTTCCATACAGAGTGTCCCAATAAATGTGTCTGATTTTTGTTGGTTAATACCTCTCTTGTCGTGAAGTCTTTCAAGAAGCTTTAGATAACATTTTGTAGGGCTGGCCTTATATTTACAGTATGGAGTGAATCACTGATTGCTCGCTATTACTGTGAGATTACGGAAGCAACTTTCCGCATATGGCGCCACAACGAAAAAGCTGTCATTTTCATCTTTCCACATTTTTTGTAAGACTCTGTATGTCTCTGACAAGAGAAGTTCGCTGGGTCGAAGTGGCGATTCGAAAGGAGACGTATACCAGTGGATAGAGCTTAAAACGCTAATTTCAGACATACCTTCAATATCTGCGACACGTTTTTCTAGCTGGAGTTATGGGCTTTTTTGCATATATAATGGAAGTGTGATCTAGGAAGGAAATGACGATCTGTGGATAAACAACAGCTCGGAAAACACTCGAACGTTCGGATGAATTCGAATCAGACCCACAATGCTTTCTATTTGGTTCACTTGAGCTTCCACACTTTTGCGTAGAAATTATCAAATTTTGCGACTCAAAATGCACGAAAATTTGGCATTAGAAAAGCTCATAACTTTTTTCAGAACAATGCATCGCAGATATAAAAGGTATATCTATTTATTTACTTATTTATTTATTCATACACTCGAAGGTGTGCCAAAAAAATCCGATTACAAACAAAACATGTTAGATCAATCAACGCGCACTTGTCAGTACGACCTAACCCACAGTCTACTGCTATAGATGTCAAATAAGTGGAAAGGAAGTGAGTCTCAGTTCATCTTTTGCGCCCGGTCCCTTGTGAAACCCTTAACAGGTGAGTGACAGTGGGGATGCCACTATTCATTCGGGTAAAAATGAATAGACTAACAGCTGATTTTCGGTAGTCAGGTATCCTCCACCCTGACAATCAACTGCTAGGCTCACCTGAGGTGGAGATATAAGATAAGGAAGCAAGGGCACAAGCTAGATATAACAAGAGCATTTACTAGCAGTAGTGAGGGTGGGTTGGGTATATAATAAGACAGATGGATAGTGAAACATAAAAGCATAGAAAGCATGAGACATATCTTTGAATTAACAGAAAAAATAGAAGTAAAACGCCCAGAGAAGAACCAGAAACCTGAAAAAAAGCATCAACCAAACCAAATAAAAACTAAAAAAAACCAAATAACAACTTGCAGCACATAAAAGCTAAGCTGACTATCACCGCACTAACGATCTAAAACTAATCACAAAAAGAAAACATCAACAGAGGTAAGGACCGGAATTCAAGACATCAGAAACATTGATCTTTCGTAAACGTCTTTTAAAAGCGGAACCATTCCTAGCCGACAATGATCAGGAGGCAAGCGATTAAACCAACGTGCGCATCTGTAAAACAGTGAATTGAAAAGCCCAGAATAGAACCTCTTATTCAACCTAGGATAATGAAGGTTGAACCCTCCGAGCCTACTGCTAGTTGGTCTGAAGACCCAGTAGCTGCTGGCTCTGAGATCAACCTCCTTACGTAGGATTCGAAAACAAAATACTAGATCCACTATTATCCTTCTATTCCTTAGAATTTTCAAACCCACTGCTTTGAGACGCTCTTCGTAAGCAGGAAAATCTTTTCTGTGCAAATTCTGAGAATTTTGTAATTTTTGACAAAAGAGCATCTGAGTAAATGTACGCTGGACTTTTTCGATCTTTAAGGACTCTTTCTCGCATGTGGGATTCCACACCTGGGAACAATATGGGGAGAGTACTCCACCTTGGGGCACCCCACTTGTACACTCATATTTCTTGGAATAAGATTGCTCCACTCTGATTGTCATAAATCTGTTTTCAAAATAAGACTTAAACCACTTCAACAGGTTCCCTCTGACACCATAGCTGTAAAGTTTAGATAAAAGAATATGGTGGGGAATTTTGACGAAGGCTTTAGACATATCAACATAAACAATATCAATAGACATTCCAGCATTGAGAGCTTTTCTCCAGTCAAACACACTTCACTAAGTTAGTTGTCTTGGATTTACCAGGTGCAAAACCGTGCAGTTCAGGAGGAATTGGATGAGACTTTCGTAGCCATCAAAATAGTTTGTTTCTTATAATTTTCTCCCTACTTTGATTGGAGTGGGTGTTGGTCGGAAATCAGAAATTGTAGTTGCGGATGTGGTTATTGGTATCGCAATAACAATGGCTTCCTTCCATAAACTTGGCACAGAAAAGGTCATAGAAAGATTAAATAGGTCAGAAAGAGGCTGTGACAGCGAATCGGCAGATCGTGTAGACTATTGGGGGGATACCATCGTAAGGCTCCGTGCAAGACGAGTTGAGAGAGCTTAATAACAACCCTCACATCCGTCTGATGAAAATATACCTTATCAAAAAACTGGTCACCATTGGAATTCACAGCCAAAAAATCACTTTGAAATTCTTCGGACTTAGAGGATACGCCAGCAAAAAAAGCGCCTAAACTTCTGCCTTTTCTTCATTATTCCTACACCAGTTACCACTATTAGCAAGAAGAGCAGGTAGCCTTGGCCTGGTCTGTAATTTACCGCATATAGCCAAAAAGACTTTTAAATGGGATTTTCAAGGACAAATGACGTTCATGATTAGCAAGGAATTTTTTTCAGATGAAAGTTCAAATCATCGCAGACCTTATTGTAGAGGGAATCAGATAATGGATATTTCAAAGCCTCAAAAATATGATGTTTCTGATCGATTAACGTACATATATGTTTCGGATAACTAAAACCAGCACAATCAGAAGTTCTCAAGCACCCAAATCTGCCAAGACCCTCATAGATCTTCAGACAAAAAGCGCGATAATAATCTTCAAAACACGTGCATTGCCCATAAACAGCCATCCAATTGACATCAGAAAAAAATTCATTAAGACTCGGACAGTCAAAATTGAGGAAGTCAGGTGTAGGATATTTTGCTTGAATGAATCAGCTTTCATTGACTTGAAATTTCACAACATTATGATCAGCAGAAGCTATAGGTGGATATACCCGCACGTTACCGATGTTTCTTGTCGACGAGAGAATCAAGTCCAGTACATTCTTACCATTGGGCTGCCTTACATACTGGTGTAATCCACAGTCAACAAAAAATTTCAAAAGATGCTTTGAACTCTGATCAAGTGACCTAAGATTATCCCAATCTATATGCAGACTGAAATCACCCAAAATGATGACAGATTCAGGTTGAGAAGATGAGAGATTGAGTAATAATTCAACAAGCTGCTCATCGTCAGTCTGCGTAGAATTTGGTGGACGGTAAATGCTGATGAACTTAATAGACTGGAGCTGGATGGGAAGAGTTCAACAGAAACTGAATCTATAATAGATACAGTGAAATGTTCAACATTATGAATGGATATCTCTACTCTGATAATGCAGCCTACTCCTCCACCGACTCTATTTGTTCTATCAGTTCGATGGATCGAATAAGGTAAATGAAACAAAATTTCGGAGTCGCGAATCTTTTTGGATAGCCACGCTTCGGTTATGAATAACATGTCTTATGTTGGTACAAAAAATTGTGGAAGTGGTCAAGTTTATTCACGATGCTACGGGAGTTGAATAGAAAGCATTTCAAATTTCGAAAACCACCATGCGAGTTTAATGGTTTCCCTGGCTCACCGAATCTGCGGGGAAGCTCAGTTACGTGCTTGAGCTGTCCTTTATAGACAACCCACTCACGTACAGGCTTCCCTTTATTACGCTCTCCAGCTTGTTGCCGTAGCTCAAATTCCATCCTCCGCTCTTCCTCGGTCATACTCCGGCGTATGAAGATGTTTGGAAAGCCGGAAGAGCGGAGGAGGTGAGCGCTAGACAGAGCTGACCTCCAGTAAAACCTAGAAGGGAGTATTACCTTGACAAGCCGGGTCGAGACCCACCTGGCTTACCAATGCGATAAAACTCGCTTATACTACAATCCACATTAAGCGCATCAAAAATCCCGTCCACCCTTTCTTTCAAATCCGCCGCCCGTTCTACTGAGCGAAGCCCCTCTGATGGTTCAGGAATGCCACTGATCACGACTGTCCTAGATCGCTTTTCATCCTCCACTGCACTATGTACTTCATCACGAAGCTTTTCGGAAAGTACACATAACATTCGCCCAATGACGGGGTCGGTGTTCCTTTCCCTAATACAGTGGAGTAAATCAAAAGCTGACATCGACATCTGGCTAAAGTCGACATCAGCAGTGGACTCCTGGCTTTGGGTGAGATCTACCGAATTCGCGTTAGACAGCTGTGCAGTTTTTTTACTCGAGTAGATCTAACTGGCATCTTTTTGACCTATAAAAATCAAAAGTGGATCGATAGGAGTGAGTCAAGGAAATCACCGCAAAGCTGATATCAAGCAAAAACCAGCAATATATATGATAGAAATAGGAAGAATAAGATGAGAGGCAGTAGATTTACGAATGTAACAAGAAGAAGAATTGAAACAAATATGCTGACCAAAAAATATAACAGACCGCACTCACGGGGCGACAAGAGCATTTGAGATCAGCGTTTTAAGCTCTATCCATTGGTATACATCATCTTCCGAATCGCCACTTTGACTAAGCGAACATTCCTTGTGAGTGGATATGATAACATTCCGTCTATCCAGATTTTTTACCTTCATTAAAAGAGGGTTGCTTGTGCGCCTCGTTTCCAAGATGCCATATTCTCTTTCCTTGTTCCTCTCAAAGTACGGATCTTCCCATAACCATAACCACATAAAGATGCTTAATAGGATGAGTTGCAAATAGCACCCGCTTTGATATAAATAAGAATTCAAATTTTGGAGCAGTAATCGCTCGATATATAGCTTTGCAGTGATATCTATTTAGAAGAGCAGTGGATAAAAATCTTGAGTTTTCTTTTTCTGACGACCCAATAGATACACTCATTTAAAAAATGTTGAAAAAGTGCTCACATTGTTACGATGCTGCTGTTCTTCTTTACGATGCTGCTGTTCTCCTTCTGTTTTTGTCCCATTTGGAATTTTGTCTCTGTAAAAAAAGATTAAGGCAACCACAAAGGGCATTCGCAGATTACGGTAGAGGAATGCGGAGGACGTTTAAGCATGACTGGAAGTATCTGGAGAGCATGACTGAAGGTAACTGAAAAATATCATTGCTATGAATTGATAAGCGTCCCTCCCTTTCTATCCAGCTTTATCTTTGATACTTGATTCAAATTGTAGACAGTTAGAAATAAAAACTGCTTCCAAATGTGGATACGACCGTGAAATGCAATCAGAATTGCAGCGAAAAATTTCTAAAAAAGATTTTGCCACCTTGCTACTACGTTTTCTAATCTGCAACCAAGACTGTTGCCTGAAGAGCACAGAAAAACGCTCTCACTAGGTTGAGACTAAGCATATAACTACATATTAGCTGGATCCAAAATAGACTATCTAATCAAATGAACTCAGAGACTTTTGCTTTAACATCCTTAGAATCCTAGAAAAAAAGATTTTTCTTGCTTCATCTCATCACATTTCTTCTGTCACGCGTTTCTCAGTGGCTTTTCTAATAGTATCCAACTTCTACTTAACAACTCTTCCTTGTGGGATTATTTTAGCTATTATGTTATTGTCAGATAAGAATCTATTGTACAGGGTGCCCAAAACGATGTATGAACGTTTAGTCGTTGATAACACACTCTTCTCGTATATTTGGAGAAGCTTTAGGCATATTTTGTAGAGCTGGCTTCATTTCAAGGTCACAGTATAGAGCGAATCCGATCGCTCTTCATTGTTGTAGGTACGGTAGGAATAACGAACGTTTTGAGCCTTGGAGGGCCATATTCTCCCAGGAAGGGAACAAAACAACCCGAAAACTTCTTCACTAAGCTAGTAGAGTTGCCAATTCTAAATGTGATGTTTGCATTTTATCATAATGCTTCTTTAGAAATTACGCCAACTAAGTAGCCGTTGTCTCGATGTTTTTAAAAAAAGTGGCTACACCATTTAAGAATCCTTAAAATCTTGCACATTATTGAACATCAAACTTAGCCTCCATGGGAATTAGGTTGTCCCATAAGTCTTTTCATACCTGAATTTTTTTTAGCTACATAAATCAGTTCTTCTTGAACTCCTAATAATTTGCAGGATACCGTTCGAAAGATCAAAGCAAGCTCTACAAGCTGGCGTTCAAAAGTTTGCAACAAGTTTGTTCTGCAACGAGTTCGGAGCCAAAATAGAAAAATTTCCAATTTTCCGAAAAAAACGAAAATCATCATATCTCAGTTCAAAACAACTCTGCAAATTTCCTGCTTTCTCATGCATATACTCTCCTCATCGGATATTTATACATGCCCTTGCTGCATTTTTCTGACGGCTAGAATCCGAGAAAAAATAATGCGCTCAACTTTCAAACTTCGCCTGTATCAGTTCTGTGTTCCCCGCAAATAGGTGTTTATATAGCGTATTAACTCAGAATTACTGCCACAAATTTGCAGCCTTCTAAGTGCTCTAGTTCTTGAGAAATGTCGAATTGAAGGTCCGAATATGAAAAGACTTATGGGACAACCTAATACACAAGCTTTGGAATTTTTTTTTGAATTATTTGAAAAGCCAGCTTTCTCACAGTGACACCATATACCGATAGTTCTTTGTTAATCTTACGTAATGAAGAGCAACCGATGAATCGCTCCATACTGTAAACTTAAGGTGGTGCCAGCTTTAGAGGTACTCAGCTTCTTGAAAGACTTTCAAAAAAGTTATTTAACGACCAAACGTTCGATACATTTTTGGGCTGTATAATAAGCTTGAAGTACTAATGCAACAGCCATGTGAGCAGTAACAAACTGCAAATCGCATGCAAGTCAGTACTTTTCATTATCAGTGGCGAAGTGCAATGTCTTTGCGCTTTTGTGAGCCCATCATACCAATGTAAAAAAGAAATGCAGAGCACTTAAGGGCTTTAGCGAGGATAGAATGACGGAAGCGAGAGGGGAAAGTAGTACATTACTAGGTTGAGATGACTGTTTGTACACACACAGAAACCTGGAATAATGTAAAAACTAGGGAGAGGTTGCGCAAGTTGAGAGGAGACCTTTTTGAGCTGTAGACAGTTTACATTTCGCCTCCGAATCAAATCTCCAAATAATGATATTTTCGGCAAAAACTCGGAAAATTGTAGAAATTTTACCTGACTTCCAGTATACAAGGTGTCTTAAAAAGATGTGCCTACTATTCGATTGTTAATGACTCTCTTGTAATGAAGTTTTCGAGATGCTTTCAGTGCATTTTTATAGAGCTGGCTTCAACTTAGATTTACAGCATAGAGCGAATCACTATAGCTCTTCGTTACTGTAGGATTACGGTAGAATCTTCAAGTATGTGGTGACATTGTGAAAAAAGTTTTTAAAAAATGTGAAAACTGTGTAATAGGGTTTTCGTGGGCCAAGATTGCGAAGCTTCTAAACTTCTAAACTTCTAAACTTTTTAAGAACATTAAAAAACAGTCGTGTTGCAGCTCCGACGTGCTCAGCACTCTAGCCTCGTACGACTACCAAACAAAACCACTCCCAGCCCTAGAGGCTAACATGTACGACACCGACGGGTCCTTCGGCGCGTCCACTTGACACGATCACCAATCCTACTGCTACGACATAACGCGCGTCTGAATTAATTGAGTTTCACAACAAATACAAATATATACAGCAAATACTAAACTTTTAAATTCGTAAACTACTGGAGGATAAACAAGAACAACAGAATACAAATACGGGGCGAGCCGCGAATTCCCCGTGCTACTGATGCTAACTTGGCTCAGTCTGAATAAAAGATGTCTGGGTTTCTCCACAAGACCGCCGCTAGGAGTCCAGGCCCACGAATGGGACGGCGCGACCCCAGCTCCACTCCCGCGGCCTTGTTCATCTATTAATATAAGATACTTTCCAGCGCTAACGCGCGTACGACACACAAGAATGATGAGAAGCTCAACATCCAAACATGAAGATCTTCTTCTGCGGGAGCTGCTAGAACCGAGGCCAAGTAACGACCGAAGATAATCGATAAGGCGAAGGTTGATGAGGCACAGACTGAACTCCGCTCAGCCTTATATACCCCTCGACTTGGCATCGTTCCCAGCCGGAGGTGGTACTGTAGCATCCTACAAAAGAAGCGAAAGATAAATGCGGCATCAGCGCCCCGGCACCTGTTCCGAGGAGCGTCTCTGCATCGCGGAACAGCAACAGGGCCGCTACTGCTTACCTTGCATAATTCTCAATGAAGCTGATAAGTTATGAACTTCACATTTAGAATTAGCAACTTTGATTAGCCCAGTGTAAAAGGTTTTAGGCTGCTTTACTTCCATTCTGAGGCAAAGTAGGCCTTTCATGGCTCAAAACCCTTTTTGAATTTCCACCGTAATCTTACAGTAATGAAGGGAGATGGATGAATCTATCTATACTGCAAGTCTAAGTTGAAGCTGGCTCTACAATATCGTAATGCTTCTCCAAAGACTTCAATACAAGAAAGTTATTACACTCAAACACTAGGCACATTTTTTTGAGACATTGTATAGCAGAATAATGAAGAAAGGAGTAGTTGGCTTGTCCTCTTTTGTTAAAACCTCGGCATCGTGAGCTATGTGATACTGTTTTCTTATGCCATACGAGATTTGGTGAAGCTCTTTATTGCGGCCTTACGTTTCGACTTATCGTCGTCTTCAGAGGCCTAAAGTGGTGCGAGATTTTGACCTTGTGTTCTACTCCACCAAATGCCTTATCGACCTCAAGCTAGTTTCGAACCCCCACTGATTTCACTAAAAATACTCGTGTAAAGTGAAAGACGAACCAACCCTTGCTTCGTTTCACCGTTGAAGCACCGATGGTATTGTGCAACCACGTCCTTTGGTGTCAGTAGTGCCAATAAGCCATTTTAGGAAGCTTATGGGTCGGTGTAATCACACTGATTTATAGCTCACATAGCGGTATAAACGGCAAGAAGTCATTCGTGATCGTTAAACATTCCTTTCTGTTGTTCATCGATGGGTTTCTCTGTGAGATCCAGAATGCTTCGAGAGTTTTTCGCGCAGAAGTGTTAGTCTCGCAAGCCAAAATCGTGCACTTGATGTCATAGTCTGCATCACCATGTTGTTCATGCCTATGTTTCCCGAGTGGTGAGTTTAGACCGCCACGTCTTTTATCGGCTAGATGTTCTTTAAGTCTAACACTTAGCGATCTTCCAGCCTCTCCAATATAGGACGCCCCGCATGTTATACAGTCTGGTAAATCACTCCAACTTTAGCGCAGTCGCCAACATTGCCATGCGGACAAACTCTGCATTCTTTTGTAATGCAAAATTTGTCATAAAGTCTATGGCGCAAGCTTTCTCTTGATGTTCGCGCTTGGTATGTCTACTAAAATGATATCGTTGCTCAAATGTGCTCGCTCAATGCTCCGCCGTATAGCAACACTTACTCGATCATAGATGAAAGGTAAACAGCGAGGAATTTTGTTGTTGCGTTGAAGCATCTCATGCGAGGTATGGCCTACTTACGTTGTGCATCGATTAGTCATTCCCTCTAGCGATGTCCAGCGCCAAATCTCGTGATTCTTTCCGTTGCCTTTCTCACGTGCAAACCTGTGTTGCAGTCTTGAACATATTGTGGATAAAACCACGTTTGACGGCTGAAGGATGAGCAGAGCGTGCGTGCAAAACGATGTTTTTCGAGCTTGATTTACGATACCATTTTACAATCGCGTGAGATCCGGACAGTTTAAATTGCACGTTCAAATATGGGAGCCACCCGTCAGTTGGCTGTTCTCGTGTAAATCTTATGTACTCTGACTGTTGATTCAATAAACGGAAACACTCGTCCATTTCGGACTGTGTGGATGTTATGATACAACAGTCGTCGATATAGCGACAGTACATAAGAGGTAGTCTTAACAGCACCGGGTTCTCGATTCTACTCATGAAGCAGACCGCTAGCACTGGCGCAAGTCTTTGTCCCATTGCGAGACCTCTTAGCTGAGTACAGTAAGATCCGAAACATTTGAAAATGTTACAGTTCAAACACTCCTTGATCAGGATCATGATGTTACTTTTACTTAAGCCGAAGGTTTGAATGTCTTTACCAAATATCCAACATTTCGGATAACGCTTGTAAAGCGTCGTCATTCAAAGATACCACATCAAAAAACTCAGCCACACACTCGTCGTTGAACTTAGCGTTGTGTAAGCGCTCAAGGAAATGGTTGGTGTTTGATAAATAGGACGGCACCTTGGTCAGTAGCTGACAAACACTCTTGTTCAAGAACGAAGATATTCTATCGGTTGGCCCCCCAGCACAGCTTATAATTGGTCGTATTTTAAACTGTTCGGCTGTCATCAATCGCGTATTATCATCAAGAGAAAGCTTGTGTGTTTTAATAAGACTATAGAAGACTGGGCAATTTGGTGTCTCTAACTTTAATCTGCTCAAAAAACTCTCGTTGAGACCAGCTAACTTCCCTGTAGTAATCCAAACATGATTGAGTCGTGTGCCACATACTCCTTTCTGTGACGTTGCGGTAAAGCGAAACGTCGCTCAGGTAATGCTGCGTGATTTTGCGATCTAGATCTTGTGGTAAAATCACGATCTCCTCTCCCTTATCACTCACAGAGATGCGTACAGTATTGCTGACAACCAATTCACGTATTTCTTTAACCAAGCCATTGCTGGTTAGTCAAGTTCGTGCGATATAGCCGTTTTAAACGTGTGTATGCGGCTAAAACATCTGATGATAACATTTTAAACTTGACATCTGCTTCAGGTGCAGGAGGCGGTTTTTTATAAAATAGGCTTAGAAATGGTGGAGGTGGAAGAAGCTGACTCTGTGGCATTCCGATCTCGTTTACTGTATTATGCTTGGCCCTCATTCTCAGATCTCGGAGTCTCTGAAGTGCAGCAACTACATTGCGGAAAACCGACCCATTAATATTCTGAGCAATAGAGAACGAAGGTCCCAAGCTGAGAAACTCATACGCATTATCATAAAGTTGAACATTACCGGTCACTTAAACTCTCGAAGCATTTCTGGATCTCACAGAGAAACCCGTCGATGAATAACAGAAAGGAATGTTTAACGATCACGAATGACTTCTTGCCGTTTATACCGCTATGTGAGCTATAAATCAGTAATGATTACACCGACCCATAAGCTTCCTAAAATGGCTTATTGGCACTACTGACACCAAAGGACGTGGTTGCACAATACCATCGGTGCCCCAACGGTGAAGCGAAGCAAGGGTTGGTTCGTCTTTCACTTTCTACGAGTATTGTTAGTGAAATCAGTGGGGGGTTCGAAACTAGCTTGAGGTCGATAAGGCAGTGGAGTAGAACACAAGGTCAAAATCTCGCACCACTTTAGGCCTCTGAAGACGACGATAAGTCGAAACGTAAGCAATAAAGAGCTTCACCAAACCTCGTATGGCATAAGAAAACAGTATCATACTTCACGAAGAAAGGAGTCCTCTGCGTCTTCTTCCCCTTCACAGGTGTTTACACATATGAGTACTAGGTTCCAAACATAATGATCCACCGCCCAAGCGGCACCTTATATTCATTTATGGCCAGAATATTCGAGTAGGATCTCTTGCTTCAAGTTCTTATGGTACCAGAGGCTGTCTGCAGCGAATCTCTAATCTCTCTTTACTCCAGAATTACGGAACATCGGAAAGGTTCAAGCCATAAAAGCCGCAATCTGCCTCAAAAAAATCCAAAAACTGTTACACTAGGACAAAGGAACTAGCTAATCGATTAAAATCCCAAAATTATATACATGCTTTTCTCATAAGTTAATCCAAACAAAACCTAACACTGCTTTTCCAATATTTTCATAATTGTGGCCAACACATTAAAAAAGCTCAAGAAGCTTGTAAAGTTGCGTAGTGGATTCAGCAGGCGTAAAAATCCTGCCAAACAATTCTCCAGATTCTTTTGAGCATTTTTTTTTCTTCAAACGAACTTGCATTGGCGCTGTATGTTGAAGTAACCTACCGTAATCCTAAAGCAACGAAGATATCGATAACTCCTATCAAAATCTAAATATAAGTTGAAGTAAGCTATACTTGATATAGTCTTCAAAAGACTTTGAAGCAAAAGGGTAATGGTCAAACAATTTGCACATTTTTTGTGTCATCCTGTGTAACACATGAATATGAAAAGACGTTCTCAATTTGAAACATTTATTTCCATGCTTATACATATTATATACAGATATAATAATATACTTACACAAAAAGTACATATAATAAAAAAATAAACCGGTAACAAGGCACTCTCAGGCACATCGAGAGCGAATACAAGACCCGTGGTGATACGCACATCATCAAATAACAATGACAATGATCGTACTACTTATTATGCATACTCTCTAAGCTTTTGTTGTTTTTCCGATATCCTATTGGGACATTTTCGCCCAACTCGGCATCGAATCAGTACGCAGAGAGTGAAGAAAAGTAGGAAACAGGCGGCTGTAAGGAAAATTTCCGGACGAAGTAGGTCCTCGAGTCGAAGAGGGATTCGAGTAGGTTCAATGACTACACGGGTCTCAGCCATTGCATCTCGTCCGATGAGGTCGTAGTTGATCAGTCGAACTACGTATTCACATCTGTAGCCGGGGAAATCAACGAAAGTCGAGCTGGCGGACTGAAAACTTCGTAAATTAAGGATTTCTCGAGAAAGAAAGTCCCCGGTGGCGGGGCAAAAACTCACAGCTTGAAGATTAATTGTTTCTTGTTGGTACTGGCAGCCATGTTCATGGGAGAGCGCATTGTAAACAAGCTGATAGAAGAGAATGTTTTCCGGATCAGCTGACGGGTTCCAGGAGACGAATGCTGTGCCATTCGGATACACAAAAATCGAGAGATCTGCCACTGGCTCGGGCACTGAAACTTAACACAAGTGATTTTTTTACACCATTATATTTTTTTTAGGAAAATTTTCCATATGATCATCTGGTCAAACTTTTTTCAGTAATGAAGCTTTACGTTGATTTACGCTCCTAATGCTGCTTCTCTGAACGCGCCCCGCCCCTGTAAACGCGTCCCGCCCACTCGTATGAGTTTCACAGCTTTGATTCATTTTGACATGGCAGGCAATCACACTGTCTAGAGTATTTGCTATCACCCAGGATTAGCGCAGTTATTCTGCCAAAAAACCTTCAATAATCGGAATTTCTGCGCTTTTCTGCGCTTCAAATTTCAAATCAGAGCCATAAAATTTGGTGAAAATCTGAGACCGACAAATTTAATTGACCTTCCTTTCAAAGAACAATTTCTCACTAAAAAAATATTTTTTCATACTCACAGCATTGTAGACTTCCTCTTCCATGCACATCTTTGCACTGAAGCGATTTGAAGCTACTTGTGACTGTCCCACTGGTCTGACTCTTATCACTCGTTGTTGCCGCCAATGTCACGACGTAGTCACAATCGAACTCGAGATGAGATAGTAGGATTGAGGAGGAGCCATCCTAAAAGAAAAATAGTTCATTTATTACTCAGAAGCGTGAAAAACCAACTCACAAGTCTGATATCTGTGCTGATGACTGAGGTGCTGTTGGATAACTGAATGTTATAGTAGCAAGATTCTTGGGGATTTCGGAGCCATTCCAAGTGGGCAGTAACACCTCGATCGGAATCGTATCCATTTCTTATGATGAGCGAAGAGCCTGAAAAAAACCCGGATAATTCCATAATTTACGTTTTAAAACTTCGATATTTTTTCTATTACAATCTTAGCAATCTTCTTTCGGTATCTGTTTTTGGGAAGAATTACAGATCAAATTGGAAGAAAAAAAAACAAAAATGAGTTCAGAGATTAATGAAAGAAATAAAATTAGTAATGAGTACCTGGAGTCCTAGGAACTCCGTTACTCGAAATTTCTGTCCATGAGCTATCCACCGCCTCACCGAGACGACCACTTGCACCAACTGCAGTGACTTTGAAACGATACTGTACTCCAGGGATAAGTCCTTTAATCTTGAGTAAAGTGTCGGATTCCACCTGAAGAATGAAAAATCAGCCTTTTCTCGAGACCAACAAACATTTGGACAGTAAGAATGCCCTACCGAAGCGGTTATCCATTGCGTTTCATCGTAGTAACCCATCGCTTGAGTCCGTTGCTTCCACTGGACAACAAATCTGAATTTCACTCATGAAAATAGATCAAAGAAATTATTTTAATGTTTCGAGATTGGCTGTTGCACAACATACCTAGTAGGGCCAGCTGATCTTAGCAGCGATATGCTGACCAAGCCTTCAGATGATTCTCCAAATTCTTCATCTACTGACGGATTCTGGCATAGCAGCTGCACAGAAGAAACCAGGGTCGAACCAACTTTTGCTGAAATTTTGGTGAAATTTACTAGGCGGATTTAAAATCTTTGAAAATAAGAACCTTGTTTTGATACTTGTAATAGATTGTAGAAAATAGTTGCTTACCAGTATCAGCTTTGCTTTCACTCCAAAATTTCAGTCCATCGTCTGTGGGGGTTTTTCCATGATGGGGAGGACCTCTCCCATGACTGCGACGATGCTGGTGACAGCCAGATTCGCACTAGAACAATACATTTTGAAAATCCAACGAAAAATTATCAAATGAGATACTGATAAAGATAAAACAGATTTTGGAATCAAAACTCACCGCCTTACAGTCTGCATTTTGAGTGTCCAAAAATTCTTCCAAAGATCCATCAAGAAGTACGCGGCTAGATAAAACGCCATATTTTTGCGTACATTTTGCTTGGCATTGTGCCAAACGAAAGTAGTGCGCGTAGTCGATTTGAATATAGGGCAATACGGTGAAAGCAGTCGCAATCGAAGATATCGATATGAGATAAATGAGAATTTTCATTTTCTGAAATTTGAATGATTTTTTTAGTCTAGACAGCTGAAATACAAATGGAAACGGAAGCGACAATGCCCACTTAAATGGAAATACTTCGTTAAGAGCTCCAAACGAGTGCGGAACATAAAATTGTCACAAAATGGGAAAGCGGAGGCCATAAAGTGGAGAATAGTTGGCAAATTTGGGAGTATATGTGAGGTTGACGAGAAAAAAGCAAAAGATTCATATAAAATTTCGGATGAAAAAAAATTAGAAGTTCTTCCTAGGATTTAGAATGCTTGTCCATATCCATAAATAACCCTCTTTCAATATCCCTACTATATTTTTAATACCCTGGTTTTGAAGAGTAAAATAAGACATTGAACGAATCAACTTTCAATCTACATATAAGATAAAAACCTATAACTCGAATTCAAGCAAAAGATGAAAATACGGAGTTTCTGTTAAAAAACACAAGGCTCTCTCATAAAACAACTATTTCATTGCTTTTAGAAAACACTTTACTAGATATTTTCGAAGAAAAATAAGCACTTGAACGAATAAGCCTTCGAGCAGCAAAAGCGCAGAAGCGCCCAATAATTGCAAGTAAAATTAGATTTCCAGCTCATAAGGCTTGGGCAATATGCCGTTCTTCAACGGGGCATAAAAACTCCCTCTCTTGTCTTGAAATTTCCAGAAACGTTTGAGTATTTTTTCTCTGTACTGAAATTTACAAAACGCCGAACAGAAATTCATTCGAACGCTTACCGCTTTTTTTCTCTCTGAGTGAAATATGGCTTATTCACGCCTCATTCGCCTGCCAGCGAATCGCCGACTCGACGAGATAAAAAAGTTCATTCACCCTTTCCTACCGAGAAAAAAGGGTGTTCGCCAGATTTCAATCTTGCAGAAAACTTCGAAAGGAAAGTTCTCGAAATGGTTTACCTATATATAATTGTACCTTATCAAAATAGCGATGACCTCTGGCTCGACCTTTCACGATGTCATGACGTAATGCCAAAGGCGACAAAGCCAAGAATGAACAAGGTGTGAGACGAAGTGACAGAACACTGCTAATAATTGATATTACATAACATCGGTGTCAATTCACACAATAGACCCGTACTGTAGGCAAATATATGCTAGTGACGTAACCTAATGGTGACTCGAGGTGGAGAACGAGCTTGAGAGATGGAAAAGAACATTTTGTCGTAGTTAAGGAGAGTTAAATTGTCTAAATCTGATACTAAGAAGATATCAATAATAAATGTTTTCTGCAAAAAAACGCCGAATTCCTAACCGAGTCATTCACGAAGAATCAGCATCTCAGCAACCCATGTAGAGCTGAAAAAGCTTAACAATTAGCAAATTTTGATTTAAAGCATTACTTGGAGTTCTAGAATTCGGGAAACTTTTCTGCTTTTTTACAGAAACTAATAAATAGAAAACAGCAGAACACGTGCAGCTATTGCTCTCAAGTTTTTTCTGTGAACTACTATAGCATTCAGGATTATTTCAATAGGAAATGAGTTCTCAAAGTAAATTTATTCGAAGCACGCAACTGGAGAATTTTTTCTTTGAAGAAAATTGAGACATAAATCTAGAAAGAAAACAATCAATCTGCTTGCTGTGCAGCCTTTTTCATCATTCTCCTTTTTCCTTGCATACTTTTCACAGAATGCACGGAGAATGTTAAAATTGGAGTAAAACAGGCGTTAAGCCTCAAAGAATTGTGAGCTACGGATTGGGTCATTGATTTTTCTACTCACGACAAAAATCGTTTTTGTGTGAAAAATACAAAATACGACAAATAGTGACTTCTCCAGTTATGGTAGCTTCCGTATATTATTATAACTGCGCTTTATTATTTATTTATTATATAGGTATATTTATTATTTAAATATTTAAATAATAAATATGCCTCCACTAGTATATTTACAACTTATCGATTTGCTTGTAGCTTCAATTCTAGTTGTTTCGCTGCAAGTGATGACCTTCTGAAGGTAAAAAACTAGCAAAATTTGGATAAAATAAGTACGGTTAGCCTTTTCCGCAGGCTAATTAGGTAGCGCAGCCAGTCCGAACCCATGCAAGAAATCGGATCCGCAAATATTTCAGGAGACCAAGAAGGAGAAAATTGCACAAACAATGCATCAAGAATGGCAATTCAGCCAATGAATGTACTTGACACACTATACACAGAGGTAAAAAGGTAACTCTATGAATTTCTGAGGAGCTAAAGTCAGCGAAAGACCAAAAAAGCTGAAAGTGAATGTATATTGGGATTATTGACAAGATGCATAACTTTCTTCAGTCAACAGGGTGCTGGATAAAAATTAATGTAATTACAATATTGGGATGAAATTGAAGATGATTGACAGCTTTTGCATTGGCAAATGTACTTTAGCAGAATAATTCTGCACATATGGAGCCCCTGATGAAGCTTTAATCAACTCAATAGATACTAAATTAGTTTTTTTCGACGCCAAACTATTTGTGGAAGTAGTAGCTTCCAGCAAATGGTTATTTGTTGAAACAATTCTCCATATGTTTGAGTGATATTGGTTATCGAATGCTAGTATTATTACACAAAGGAGCTTTTTGTTGACCATTTAGCTGGAGTAATATTGATGGCCTATAACTCAGTGATGGGCATTTGTCTTGAGAACAATGAGAGAAAAAAAGCAAAAAACTTATGAGGCAGGAGTTTCAATGGATATTAAACAGTCGACAGGAGAGATTTTTCTGAAGGCATTGCATTTTTTCTCGATAGAAAGTTAAGGCTATGTCCGCCGGAAATTTCGCAAAAAACGTGCAAAACAATTTCCTTTGGATATTGATTTCAAGAACCTAAAAATCGGTGTCAGGCGGGGAAAAATTTGAAAGAAATACTGAGGACTTACAAAAAGGAAAGACCCAGAGAACAGATTTGCCGTTAAATAAAATTTGGAATCTAAGTATTTGTTTTCTGGTCGTCATAGCCTAAAACAAAATTATTAATGAAGAAAATCTAGTAATTTTTTAGCAACAGTTCTGTTATTCGATTTGTTTTTTTACAATACTTACGTGCGTTCGAAGCTTCAGTGAAAGCAGATTACATGAAAAAAAAACTTTTAAACAATATCTGATGATTTTTCAAAATTTTACTTGCTCGGTCGCACAAAAACAGTTTCCCACAACTCTAGAAAAAAGTACATACTAAGATGTCATGAATATATTAGGTGGGACCAGAAGTTCGTTCGCCTGGTTTTTTGAAAATAATGAATTTCTTTCCTCTAGATGGATTTTCTTTACTTTATTTTTGTTTGCAAAAGTAAACTTTTCCCTTTACAGTGGTACCTTTAACGTAACTTGTTATGAGAAATTTCGAGAGCTGGAAGCAAGTGAAGGAAATTAGTCATGGTTTTCATTTTTCGAGCAGAGTCACGAAAATCTGAAAGTATTTTTGTTTGATAGAGAAAAGGTGAAGCAACATGCGAACTTGGTTCAGCAAAAGTATAACTAAGGCAATTGCAAGATTGCAAGCCCGAAGAACATCTCACTCCGTCCGTGGATATCAATTAAGAACTCATTCAACGAGATGTTTTCGAGCACGGCCTGATGCGAAGATGTGCTGATGAATTATAAGGAAAAAGCTTTTAGCACTGGGAAGCAATGGAAGAGTTTGAAATTGCTGTGCTCATCGAACAGTGTGGGGAGGGGGCGAAATGACAGGGTGGCCGAGGACTAGCAATCATTTTGTCATCGGTTATTCAAGGTCAAAGCACTGAACTCACATAACTACACTTGCGAACATAACAAAAGTCAGAAACTTGGGGAGTGAAGGGCGGAAGAGAAGGATTAAAGGTCCCACAAACTGCTAAGACTTGCCCCATATATAGCAAACCTAGTGGAAGTGAAAATGCCCGTTCGATCACAAACTTACCCAACTTACCCGTGTTTCGCACCTATAATTACCCTCTCTACCAATTTGTAAACATGCTCGTAATGCAGCAATCACCCAATTATGGCTCAAATTCATGGGAATTGCGACTTTGGTAACCGGCAGGTGATAAACGGAAGTCAACAAGACACGCGACAGAAATATTCCCATAAAAATTAGCTGCCCGGGAGAATTCCAGCACGGAAGGAGTAATTAAGGCTAACCGTGCGACCTTTGGGACTTGGTGCCGTTGTCTTCTGCACATTCATGTGCACTAATTGAGATTAGCTCAACTTAGAAGTCATCTGACAATGCCTGGAATGGAGCAAAGGAGTAGAGCAGAAGGAAACAGGTCGAATTGATGCAAGAAGGTAAAATTCGGTTGGATAGACAAAGTTGGGTCGACTTGAAATGATTTGTAAATTACTAATTTCTCCAAAACTATATATCTAAACCGTAAATTCTCGAAAATTTTCCCAAGTTCAGGGGGTCAAGGAGGCCCCTAAAACTCGTTGGGCAGTAAAAGTTTTACCCAGGGTTCATAAAAACTCATAAAAGGGGTAATTGCCCGTTTTCCAGGATTCCAGATCAGATAAGTGTGTAACTGCTCTTTGTGGTTAGCTGAGGGTTAGCGAACGGGTTATTTTTATAGGAGCTAGATAGCCTTGCAAGTCGACTTTATGCTGAAATGTTCAAAAAATTTGAGAAAAAACATAAATGATTTCAAAGAATGTAAGAAATATTATTTGGTGTTGCAGAACAAAGACTTGAATTCCGTTCTTCTCAGCAGCATGTCGCTTTGAGGAGATTTCGTATAATTTTGGATTGTTAAATTGAATAAAAAAACAAATAGCAAAAGTTAACATGGTTCTTAAGGCGAATAAATTTCCAAAAAAGCCACCTTCGAAGTATGAAACCTTTGACAATAAAAATTTATTCAAAAATTGAGAGGTTAGTGTGGAGACTTGAAACCTTAATCATTTTCAGAAATAACTCTAAAAGTAAGATCTTGGTGGAGATATATTTTGAGAATTAATTTGAAGTATATTTTGAAGAGTAAATTTGAAACCATTTTTGTAATTTTTCGAAATCAACGGTCAGAATAAAAATTTGAAACCTTCACCACAGCAGTGACAGTGGGATTTTCTCACAAATGACACTTGGCTCTTTGCTCTTTGTGAAAGAGAGTCAAGTGGGCGGAGTTTGACCATAGAATGAGCCGCTGTTCGCTGCCATTACATCCATAATAATTAATGGGCACAGACTAGCTCAGGGTACCATCGAAAAGGTCAGCGCACGGCCGAGCAGACAGTGTGAACACGATTTGCGGAGAAAATCTTGCTTTTAGGCAACTTAGAGGAAGTAAATTAGCTGTGAAGAAGTTTGTGCAAATACATGACAACTTTGGCAAAACATAGCTACTAGCAGACGTTAGTGCCTATAGCTGTGATTTTTTTACTAGTCGTCTCTTAACATCATTAGTGTTCGTGCTAAGCAAGAGGGCAGAGAAAAAAATCCGTACATGTATTGCATTTTTATCTGCCTCCTTCACATGCTTGCAAAGTAGCCACTGAATTTCAATGTAGAAAATTAGTATTATTTGACAAATTTAATCTCAAGATTAATCAAGAGGTTGCAAGCCGCACTAGTGCTATATTATCTGTTTATTTATTTGTACGCTCATAAGCGTGAAAACTGCAATGATAGACACCATGAAGGATTGCCTTGAAATAAAAAACATTAGTTTCAAATAGAATAAAAAAATAAAAAAATCTAGTACTACTATAATTTTTTTGTCTGTTTTGGAATATGGATAGAGCTAAACAAAAAAAAATGTAAATTTGAATAGACTTGGAAACTTCTCTGCCTTCAAATCAGTGGAAATATATAAATTTTTAATTTATGATCATAAATATAATTTTTCTAGTGTTTCTGATTACTACTTGTGAGTTTCAAGTTTGCCATTTGATAATCTATAGCTGTTTTTTGTAAGCTTTGGAGAAACAAACCGCAAAATTTATCTTATAATTTTTCGTTGTCGACGTGTTTTTTCAATCCAATTTCAAGGTAGTAAAACAAATTACTTGTAAGGAAAGTGAATTAACGATAATTATGCTGCTAATAGAATAGAATAAGAAAACTATATAAGGTATAGTTCAGCCAAGCAAGGATTCTCAAGTTGAATTACAAATTCATTCAGTGAAAATTAACGTAGATAAATCTTGAACTTGTATGAAAAAACTGCTTGAAGTTGGAGATGTTATTTTAAGGTGCAAAACATTCAGAATTTGCACTATACAGCCTATGTTTTTTCAATATAAATAGATCGCAGTCAGTTTGAGCTTCCAGCAAATTCCTACTATTTGCATGCTCAATAAAGCCCGAAAGAAAACGGATCAAGGAGCCCCTAAGCTGAATTAGCTACGGTTGTTCTTCTCTATACCATAACACTCAGCTCAGTACACCATCAGGTGTTCTCATCGAGATCAATCATCTTTGTGTCGTGGAAGAATAGCCGACAGATTGTAAATGAGGAGGAGGACACGAACAGCTACAACCCGAACAACAACCGAATACATCAAAGCTGTCAACGGGAAAGCTCAACCGTCAGGTCATGAGTTGGAAGAGAGATAGCCGGCATTCAAAATGGTTGGCAATGATTATTGTGGAGCTGGATGGAGAGTGACAGATATTCTAGGAAGTTTCCATTTTGGATTCCCACCGGAGGTACCGGATAAGCTGGTTGATCGACAAATGTGTATGTACCCTTGGCGAAGCGTATCCTAATCCTCGCCGTAAGAACAATTGAATTCGTGCGCGAAGAGATGTAATTGGGCCCGTGGCAAACTTCATAATGACCAGCAGCACCGGGAAACAAAGACAATCATTGTCATTTCTCTCTTCAGCCACGGACAATTGTGAGAGCAGTGCAAAAAGTCGACAAGGAGACCCGAGCGAAAACTTCGATAAATCCCAAGGTGCTTGCTTGCCAGCAGTCCCCTCAGTGGTTTCTTTGATATTGTTTATAAGGGTGAATCCGAGGATACTGTGAGGTCGGAAACAGCTGTGACAGACACCGATTCGGAACAGTTGCACTTGGCCGAAGAAGTAACAGGTGGTACTGTCGCACTAAACTGTCGGTGCTTTCCAGAAAGCGACGGGGAATTCTTGGGATTTTTTGCGAAAAGACAAGCATATTGCGGGAACAAGTGCTCAATTACGAGAGCGAAAAAATTTAAGGATGTGATAATCGACTATCCGAGAAAACGCAAATAAATGAAAGGAAGATGTCCATTTTGCAAAAAATGCCGGCACCTCCTAAATCCATGACTGCGAGCAAAAGCATAAGGAGCATCCCGTGATAAGTGCATTTTGCTATGGCAACCTGTTATAGCTACTTATTTTCTATTATGTACTTATTTAATTTCATTGGAACAAATAGTGGAGCGCTGCTATACACAAACAGCAAAGAAGTGAGCTGAAAAATAAAGGCTACTGAATATGGAATTCGCAAATGCATGACTGTCAAAAACTAAGTTTATAGATACTAATCTTGAGTTCCTTCTTTCCTCTCGTTCCCGACTTCCGACTATGAAAGTTTCGAAAACTGAAGGAGCACTAAGAGTCAGAGGCTTTGAGTTTCCTTCGATATTATTTACACTATGCAGATTCATGATAATGCCGACAATACTTAGCTTTTTACAATGTTTATTTGCTGAAAATTTCCGTTGGACCGTTCAATGAATTTATTACGTCGTGTTTGTCGCGTTTGTAAAGTAAAACATTTTGTACATCATGCAAAAACACTTGTGAGCGACTGGTTTGGCCGAGCTTAGAAAGTCGAACATATTGGGTCGTTTCAAAAGTAATTTCGCTTTTTTCAAACGGGCGCCACATTTGATGAAACAAAGGTTTCTAAGAGGACTTGGAAGCATTCGATCCAGAACTTTATTCTCTTTCTAATGGTTATGAAATTGTTGCAAAACATTCGATGAGCTTTCAGAAAATAACCAAAATCTGCGACCCATGCTTTTTGAGATGGTCAAGTTTCACGATTTTTTAAAACTTTCATATCAATCCTCAGAAGAAGTTCAAGCAACGATTCGATAGAGCAAACCCTATAAAATACAGTACTACTTTTTTCTCCTTTCCATAGCTTGTCACACATTTTTAACAGAATTTTAACTGATGTTACCGATTTTTATATTTGGGCAGCTAAATCCTCGTAGATTATCCAAAGAAGAGCAGCTCGCGCACTATTCGATGCAGCATTTTCTCCTCTTTCTAATAGGTGTTTTTTGTTTCCAATTCGTTTAGTTTCCGGGAGAAATCATCATAACTCATTTTTTTAGCGAGCCCCAGGCTGCACCCGAAAAACTCGAAATTTGATATTTTGAATCCGTAAGCTCTCACTTGCGTTGTAAAATCAATATTAAGCGACATACCATCTTGGAAATTTCAAATTCCGAGTAGTTACTGATGTTTGATGCGATTGTGGTTGACGTAGGCCTGCCAAAATCCGATGGTTTTGTTGAAAAATCTTTTAAAAAATTACGGCGAGCTAGGAAAAAGAGAAAAAAGCAGTGCTGTATTCTATAAAGCTTACTCTATCGAATCGTTACTTGAACTCCTTCTGAGGATTGATTTGAAAGTTTTAAAAAATCGTGAAACTTGACCATCTCAAAAAGCATGGGTCGCAGATTTTGGTTATTTTCTGAAAGCTCATTGACTGATTTGCAATAATTTCATGACCGTTAGAAAGAGAATGAAATTCTGGATCGAATGCTTCCAAGACCTCTTAGAAACCTTTATTCCATCAAATATGGCGCCCGTTTGAAAAAAGCGAAATTACTTTTGAAACGACCTAATATACATATAATAAGCAGTAGCGGTCATAGTTTTTCCATCCGGGGGTGCGGACGCAGGTGCGTGGCGTTAGCCATGTACTCGCAAAAAATTCTTGAGCTCCCAAAAAAGCCTAACTTCAATTTTTGAATTTCAAAAATTGCTTTGGTTATTTACCAGTATATACAGGTCACTTGCACATTTCAATAGCCATTGTTAGTAACTTTCAAAAATTTAGCAACCCATTCACGAAGGCAGGGTGCTAAAGAAATGTTATCAGAAAAGTTTTCGAATCTCACTACTATTTTCCTGCTGATGTAGAGGAATTCTCTATGTATGTGGAGGAAATGGCAAGAGGCAGATGAGCAAATTTTAGAAAAATAAATTCAAAAAAACCCCATCAGTTGTGTATAGCGACTAGTTTCACATCAAAAACATTCTGCGCATATTTTGATTTTATGAAGAATCGGATTCCACCCTTCTACTATACCCTCTACGTTACGTTTGATTATTCAAAACGTTTGGGAAGCTGTTTGATTTTGTTGCGCTGTTAGGCAACATTGCAGTAAAGAAATGCCCGAAAGCAAAAGTTTACTCTTGACAATGCAATGTTTATCTTGATTTTTGACAAGGCGACATAGACATAGGGCAAAAAGGTGTTTTGTGATTGCAAACGGTTGGCCCTATTTAGAGTCCCTGAGTAGATCATTCATAGAAAAAAGAGATAGTTGATAAGTTACGGGGTTTTGTAGTCTGTATTATGAATTCGGTACTGTGGGCTCCGGATCTCTCGGGCGATTGACATAGTACGTTCGCTTTTTCTCATTGCATCCACAATTTACTGGATCCGGATTAGCGTGACGTTTCGCCTAAAATTCAAACTTACCTCGGCTCAAGGTGAATACAAAACTACATTGTAAACATGTATTTATTCTCAGAAACAAATCACAATGTAAAAACGAATCCTTCACCTGCATTCAGATTATTGCTATTCAAGTTCTCTAAGATAAGTTATGATATATCCATTAATTTGCCTTTATGCCGATTCCCTTTCCTCCTCCAAGGAGCTTTCCGGCAAGTTTCACTCCTTGCTTGGCCATGTCACCAGTAGCACCTTTTTTGAAGTTTTCGAAGAATGTGGACAGCATCTTAAACGCTTCCATGGGTTCGATGTTGAATTTTTTGGCTGAAAAAAGAGTAAATTGAAAACTTGTTTTTTTTGGACTTCTCATCATAACAGGTCATTGGGTGAATTTTGGTTGATTTTTGAGATTTCTGAATTTGTCTATTCTCGCATTTCTTTGTACAGAAAAGTAGAAAAAAACGAAGAAAGTAGAGAAATCCATGATTTTTACTCAGAGTAATCTTAGAGAAATCCATGATTTTTACTCAGAGTAATCTATTTTTAGATCTGCAAAACCTCAACAACATTTCAGCAGCCGCAAAGCTATTACTCTTCCATTTCATTTCGAGTTCATGCGAACTTGAATTGAGCATCAGCTGAGTGCTGGCGGAAAAGAGGTGGATTAATAGGCCATCGAAAGCGTAGTACTAATCACAAGGCATGTGGACCTCGTTATGTCAGGATCAGCTCCGAGCAGAAAAATATGGAAGGAAAAAGTGTTAAGAGGAGGAAGGGGGAGGGGGGGGGGGACATGCAAACGGCAGAGTTGCATCGACTTTTTGAATAATTTAGATTCACTTAGTTGTTGTTTAAGGTACAGAATGCTAAGGTAAAAGAAAATATGAAAGCTCTAGGTAATGGGAATGACTTTCTTTCCAACAATATAGATAAAGATTGTGTTAGAAAACTGAAGCAGTTATCTCTTGAACGAGTAAAATTGACTTTGCACCTTCTAGAAAAGGTACATGGCCTTTAAGCTAAGCAACTATTGTTCAAGAACATTAGTGTTCAGCATCTGGTGGAATATTCCAATGTTTCAATTGTTTACATTTCCAGCAGAGATATTGTCAAAGCAAATTTCAAAGCTCACCTGCATTGTTGAAGATTTTTGTGGCCGTAGGAATGTGCTGCTCCATGTCCCTTTTTACCTAAAATCATAAATAATTTGGGTCGTAATGCTGCCCTTCCAGAAGGTAAGAAATCTTTACTTTCTCATCAAGATTTGTGTACTTGTTCAGGAAATTGCGGAAGAATGCTTGAGCGGCTAGATTTTCGGGTTTCAACGACGGTACACCCATTACTTGTTTAGTCATCTGAAAACGTTAAGAATGGGTTTTGGATTTGGGAAGCCAAGACTCTACTAACATCCATAAAGAATTTCTTGCCACCTGCTCCAAGCTTTTCCACATCAAGGCCACCGGGGGATGAGGCTGGATAAGACATGCATGCTGCGATGACGAGGAGGAGGACTAGAGTCGGTCGCCACATTCTTGAAAAGGAAATGGATGAAAATTGAAGAATAAATAAAAATAAAGGAAAACGAGTGAACGGAGAAATGGACGAATTCACAATGATTTCACTATAAATTCGAGAAGTTTGGAGAAGAGTTTATGAGAAGGACGACAGTGAATCTTGTCAATGAGAAACAGTGATTTGCGCCGAAATGTTCGCTGTTTTTTCGAAACTAAAGACATCAAGTGAGAGCAGCTGTCTTCGGCAATGTAATGAAAAACACAGAAAGAAACAACTGATGTGGCGCTAGATCTCGGACAGCTGCTGCGTACCAAGAGAAAACATAACAGTTTCAACGCAGAACATTTCCGCATGAATGGCGAATCTCGACCGGATTCACGTACGATTTACAGTGCTGTGCCTCTGAACAATTTCAAAGGAGAGCGCGCAGGATCATCAGTCTATAGGGATGCATAGACCAGAATATAATTGAATATGATTATGCTCAGTCAATATCCAACTTGCCAATATCGAATAACCTTTTTTTCGACGCCATGACCGTTCTTCCTGCTGCCAAAAACCAAATTATTTGTGGGACTGATGGCGACAAAAATTCGCTTTTGAAACATTTAGGTCGCAAGACTATCTTCTAAAAAATTTGTCTGAGAAGATCAACCTGATTAAGCGTGTCTTCAAGTTTTTCGTTGTGGAAGAACTACGAATGATCGTTTAGCAGGCTACTGATGGATTTATTACTGTTCACATAAATTTTCAATTTTATGAGTTCATCTGCGATAACATAATTGCTTGGGCAATCGCGATCTCACAAAAGCATTCTTTGAACTCTCCCTTACCAAACCAAATGCGTGGATTATTATGGTAAGATGCATAAAGCATTGGCATGCCGATCTCAGGTCAACGTATTCAGGGATTAGAAGCAGGAAAATTTGTGCCTGATGTAAACGAGAGACTCAATTGACCGTCTCATGTAGCCCAAGATCCCTCCTCTTTGTGATGCAAATGTTTATGTGATCCAGTATAGCTGGTTTGTACCGTAGCTCGCCGTTTTAACTTTTGTTTGATACCGGAATTTGTCAGAAATTGAGGAACTAGTACTTATGAGGAAAACTACCTAACTTAGCTCGGCCTTTTAGCAAGAGACATATATGTTCTGAATCAGCTTTGAACGCTGATTCCAAATGTGCTATCTCTAGCTGCCGAGCACAATTCCGAAGCAAGTTTTCCTGCGCAAAATTGGCATACTACTGTATATGGGAAGAGTGCCTGTAATTAAAAATCTGCAAGAAAAAGGTGCTGAGTTATCGAAATAACACAAATCAATCTTTTTTTACTAAAAAGAAGCTCACCGCAATGTACTAGCACTTAGGTGATGATATCGTGATGTTTAGTGAGTCGATGAGTATGCTAAATTCGCGCAGGAAAAAGTCCATAACTCGCTTTGGGATGGTGCTCGGCAGCTAGAAATAGCATATTTGGAATCATCGTTTGAAGCTGATAATTTAAAATATATACATGTCCCTTGCCAAAACCCTTTTTAGTTACAGAGAGGGCAGCACTCTGCGCGCCGACAATTCAGGAGGTCTCTGAAGAGTCAAAAAATGTTAAGTCGCCTCTGATAAACCTGACCCAGGGCCCAGCACGAGGGAGCAAATGGACATCGGTAAAACGACTTCGCTTTTGTCACTATTGATTTTTACGATTTCCCATTTGATCCCTCCATCCGCTTAGATTGTTCGATTAGAGCGCGCTTTCTTCGGCAAAAGGATCGACGTCGATGCTATTGGATTTCAACGATGAGGGGAAAAGTTTTGGAACCAAAATGTTACTGTATACTAAACTTTACCTGTAGAACAGTTTTATGTAAATTTTGAAAAACTCGTGTGAAATGGAAGTTTTGCCCACCTTAGGTGGGCATTATGTAGGGAGCAATTACCCACCTAATCTGGAAAAACTAAGTACGCTGTCTATTCACGAAGCTTTTCATAATTATCCTACTTTGTTCCCTACCCCTACTGCGCGTAAACACACCAAATTTTTATGCCATATCGTCATCTGTGCGTTGCAAATGCGTTGAGCCATTTTTCTTTGTGATAGTGCGGATTTTTCAGAAAAGAAAACTTGCCACAACCTTAGTCACATAATTTTTGCGCAATACTCTGCACTATGCTCCCACTAGTCCTTGTACGTTTATACTCCAAAGAAGAATTTGATTTTGAAGTGACGCGCGAGCATGACCGTGTTTTAGCATGTCAGTCGTGTACCAACTTGTCGAAAAAGTGTATGTATATATATGTACATAAACGCGTATTTACGATATCCTCTTTGCTTTCCTCTTCCATTCAAAACGATTTTTATCTTGACATTTGCCCACCTCGTGCAGGGCCTTGTCACCTGATAAACTTGACTTCAGCTCGGCTCATTAACCTATTTATCAAACCTAGTAACAATGAACAGTGCCGATATATACGCAGTCAATCGACTTCAGGGCATTTGAAAGATCGTGATGATCGCGACCGCGCGCTACACGCTACATGCACGTCACTTCCAAAAACCACATTTTCTTGACTTTTATCTCTAGTCGAGTGGTTTTTTTGCTTACATATGATAGTATTTAGACACTGGAAGTGACTGAGTTGATCGTTGAGGTGATGTCTTCTTGTATGAGCGCTTTATGCTCCTGTAGACGCAAAGTCCGCAGTCAAATCGTCGTCACGATTTTATAAATAACCAGTACACATAACATCAAACAAGCCCATTTCTGCTTTGTGTATCATAGCATACTGTGACAATTGTAATAGCTTCGGTATATATCCATTGTCACTCATTTCTTCCAATTTTGAGAGCAATATCGTCTCCTGTATATTAATTCCACTGATCAATTCTCAAGGCCAAAGATCTCATGTCCATAATATGAAAGCGATTTATCTAATTAGATTTTTATATTAGGTTGAACCGAAAGTTCTGTCGCACCATTTTCAAAAAATCATAACTTCTTTCGGTCAAAACGATTTTGCGCAATTCAAATTTTGTCTGAAAGCGTAAAGCATGTAGTTTTCAAAAGCTCCCTGGTGAGTTTCCGACATGCTCAGGTGGCAGAGATAAAAATGAAAGAACGAGTTCATCCGAACTTCGGAATTTTTAAGCAAGAATTCTAGAAATTCAGAAACAGCGCGATAAAATCCAGAAAAGCCATTATCCTAATTTGTCTTATATTTGGTTACTATGTGAGTCAAGTTTGTGCTGGTCGAGGTCTTCTTTCAGAAGTTATGAATTTTTGAAAAATAATGCCAGAAATTCCATTTCTCAAGAATTCTTAGGAAATCGATTTTTCGGCATTATTTTTCAAAAAATCATAACTTTTGAAAGAAGGCTTCGATCAGCACAAACTTGACTCAGATAGTAATCAAATGTAAGAGAAATTAGGATAATGGCTTTTCTGGACTTTATCGCACAGTTTCTGAATTTCTAGAATTCTTGCTTAAAAATTCCGAAGTTCGGATGAACTCGTTCTTTCATTTTTATCTCTGCCACCTGAGCATGTCGGAAACTCACCAGGGAGCTTTTGAAAACTACATGCTTTACGCTTTCAGACAAAATTTGAATTGCGCAAAATCGTTTTGACCGAAAGAAGTTATGATTTTTTGAAAATGGTGCGACAGAACTTTCGGTTCAACCTAATATTAGGTTGTCCTAAAAGTTCTTGCGCCGGATTTTCAAAAAATCATAGCTTCCTTTCTTCTCAACGGTTTCTCTCAAAATAATTTTTTTTATGAAAGAGGAAACCTTTTTCTTTATAGCGTGCCTTTGCCATGAATTAGGGTTCGTAAGTTCGAGAGTTAAAAGCAAATGAATGAAATTAGTTAAGATCGACATTTTTCAAGCTGGATCACGAAAAATTCCGGAAGTAATTTTATTCGATAGAGAAAAATTTTCACATTACAGTGGTACCTTTTTCATGAATTAAAACGAAGTAGATGGAGAGTCAGAAGCAAATAAAGAGAATTTCTTCATTTTTGCAATTTTTGAGCATACTCAAAAATGCTTGAAAACGTCACAGAAAAGGCGAAAAAGTCATAAACATGGGTTTTGTGACCTTCCCTTTTTAGCAGAGTGAAAATCGTGCCAATCGGGAGCAATTTTCATTTTCGTGAAAAACGCACACCCGAAATTCGAATAAATCACGAAAATGAAAATTGCTCCCGATTGGCACGATTTTGGCTCAGCTAGAAAGGGAAGGTCAGAAAACCCATGTTTATGACTTTTTCGCCTATCCTATGACGTTTTCAAGCTTTTTTGATCATGCTCTAAAATTGCAAAAATGAAGAAATTCTCTTTATTTGCTTCTGACTCCCTATCTACTTCGTTTTAATTTATGAAAAAGGTACCACTGTAATGTGCAAAATTTTCTCTATCGAATAAAATTACTTCCAGAATTTTTCGTGATCCAGCTTGAAAAATGTTGATCTTGACTAATTTCATTCAATTGCTTTTAACTCTCGAACTTACGAACGCTAATTCATGTCAAAGGCACCGCTATAAAGAAAAAGGTTTCCTCTTTGACACAAAAATAATTTCGAGAAAAATCATTGAGAAGAAAGGAAGTTATGATTTTTTGAAAATCCGGCGCAAGAACTTTTAGGACAACCTAATATATGGTATTGAACAGTTTAGCTGACACAAACGCAATTCGGAATCAGTTTAAACTTATTATCAAGGCAAAAAGTAATGGGCATGTCATTTGTCAATGCTTGCAGAAAATTGTGATATTCAGAATATGGTCACATTCGCTGTTAGACCTTCGGTAAATCTGGTTGTACAGTATCCTTGTGAGGTATTAACTGTTTGACATGGCTTCCTGGCATTTTCTTGAAAATGATGGAATAACAGGCTCACAACGGTTGATCGTTCATCCCACATTGGAGCAGCCAAAAAAGAGTCTTTTATACTTCTGAGTCATGCGACGAAAGAGCATTGCAGCATGAATAAGCCGAGAATCATTTCTTAGACAGGTGGGACGAGTGGCGTACTGATACGAGGCGCCATACCCTCGATACATAGAGCCACATACTCTGGTAACCTTCACTTTGAGGGCTATGAGGGGACACAACCTTCACCTGGGAAAAAAACAGAAGTTATCCGGAGCGAAGCCCCGGATGTTATGATCCTGACTTCGGAAGAATGTGAATGAACTAAATATAGGAAAGAATGTTTAAAGAATGTCTCAGCGAAACCGAGAAATTGCTTTTTTAAAGCCTTTTTTGCGCTGAAAAGAAAATTTCTGTGAAAATTTCCTCACAATTCAGGACAACGTTCCTCATTTAGCCTCCCACTTGACCAAAAATGAGTTTCAAAAGTTTGGAAAGCTGTTGGAGTTAAATTAAAATGAGAAACTGCGCTTAATTGTGCACAGAGAGTCGCGCACGAAAATGCTGGTCTATCTCGTTAGTAAGTGACTTTTAAAGCTTGGGACGTTGTCAGCTCTCCTCGTCGTGTCATGATGGTCAGAATGATATATAATGTTACAGGGTTTCGTTGAGACCCCGCGGAGATCTACGACCAGAGCCAAATGCCCCGTCGGCTCTGGTCTGTCTCCGCTGCTCGTCTGCGTCTCCGCGCGCTGCGCGCTACCTCGCTACCCCAAACGCGGGGCGCGGGGCATTTGGCTCTGGTACCCTTTTCTTCGCTGTTTCGCACCCAATTTTAGCAAGCTATATATCATTTTGAAGCTCTTGATCTATATTTTTACGCTGACAACGTCCCAAAATCATATTCCTTGATTTGGACGAGAAATCCGGCAAAAACCTTGTTTTCGAAAATCTCTTGTTTTTCTTCTAGTTTACCTCTTTTTACCCGGTTTTTTCGTGCATTCTATAGATCTTGCTTCTGTTCATAATGCAGACAACCACCCAGCCTTTACCTCTTCGATTATTGTGGATTTTTTTGCGAAAAATCGTAAAAAGTGCGTTTTTCTTTACCTTGTTCTGTTTCAATGCCTTCGCATCGATTTTTTTCCAGCTTGGGCGATTGTTGCTCAGAACAATAAGCGCAACAATCCAGACAACGTCCCAGGAAACAGGAACGTCAATGCGGGGTAAAAATTCAAAGGACGCATCAAAAATCAAAACCCCGTGTTGCGAATTGCTGGTCCTGAAGCGAAAATTTGCACTTTGAAAAGCCGCCAAATGAAAGATTTCAAGCCTCATTGCAGCGTTTTTATCCTATTTTCAGAAGTTTCTTTTGCTTTTTGTATCTATTTTGTGTCATTTTCTCTTCTCTGATCATCTTTAAACAACCTTCACTATTTATGACGTCAGATGTTCAAACAACCTCCACTTTTGACGCCCTGTCTCTAGACTATCGAAGGTATGCGAGGCGCTATAAAACATGTAATTAAGGGTTTCTGCCTCTGGACCTTTCGGGCACTGTACTTTGGTGCATTTAGGAAGGAGAGTGCTTCAGTTGTTATCCCCGAATCCTGAATTTACACTTTGATTCAACTAAGCGGCTGGAAGGCGGGACTTCGTGACCTAATTAAGGCTAGAGAATGATCAGGCGCGAGCGGTCGTCTTCCAGCCCCCAGTCCCGTCGAATTAAAGGGTACCTACCGCTTCATATAGATTTGGTAAGAGGCCTAACTTCATTATATATTTGTTAATGAACTCACAAGGGAATGGTCAGAAGTCGAAGTGGCCAAACCAACAAACTGTATATCATTTGATGCAGTATAAAACGCTGACTTTGAATCTGTCTTCCTTATCTGCTTATCGCTTCTGGGGACGAAGCTACGAGCGGTTTTATTGTGAAAAAATCACACATAAAAACAGCGAAACTGAGCACATTGTTGCACTTTTAGCTCAGCTTCTGGCTTTAAAAATTTGAAGTAAGCTAGTTGCATGTTTTGGCCCAGCGAACGTGACTCTGTACGGCTAAATTTTCATTTTTACGCATAATTTCTTAGCAAAATAACGGTCTTTAATGGCTTATATCTTCGTCCAAAAAAGCGATAAGCAGGTAAGGAAGACAGATTTAGAGTCAGCGTTTCATGCTGCACCTAATGGTATGCAGCTTGTCTGGATTGGCCACTTCGAGTTCTGACCATTCCCTTGTCAGTGATTAGGTCTATCCAGTGTTAGGCTTGACCCATGAATGAATTCAGCAAGCTTTTTGGGGCCACTGCCCACTTTGTGTTCCTCTCAACCGGTGGTTAGCCGAAATCTCGAAATCCCCCTAACCGATACCATAGACTGAAATAAGCTCGATCCGTGGACCTTGATACATTGGTTAGCCGATGAATGGTCACTTAATCACAGTTTACGTTTTCAGGCGCAGCTCCATCCCCTAATCATCTAGGGAAGGATTTTTGGAGACTTTTCAGACCAGACCACTGAAATTTAATTGTCACTCTATTTTTTGCTAATGGAAACTTTCTAGTTGAGTGCAGCTCTTGCAAAATCCAAGCCCACGACATAAAATGCATTTATTCTTGGAAAAACTATTTACATGAAAGTAAGTTTGAGGGTTGTCAAATTGCTAGAAAAGCTTTTGCAGATTCTCAGCTTTTACTTTGCTCCAGCTTTTCCGGACAGCACGTTTGCAGCGATGTTAACTCCTTGCTGAATCAGCTCACTGGATGCGCCCTTCTTAAATTCTTCGAAATACTTGGCCAACGTCTGGAAGGCCTGCATGGGGTCTATGTTGAGTTTTGACACTGAAAAGAAAGGTTTCAAGATCACAAACTTCAGCACCAAGTATGAAATTGAAATTGAGGATAAACAAAAATTAATCTTCTGAAATATTAGCTCAGTTTCAATGAATCCAAGTTGTTTTACATGGAACTGAAGCCAATTTTTGTTTTTTTTGTTGGCATTCTAACCATTTGGATTTTTAGGAAAGGTAGGTGTCTTAGGTAAGAGGACCAGTGCTCAAAAAGAAACTTTTTAGTCAAGTAAATATAACTCACGTGCATCGTTGAAGACTTTTGTGGCGGAGGGAATGTACTGCTCTAGTTCCTTCTTTGTCTGAAATTTTCATATAGAAATGGTTACAATCAAATTATATTATGCTTCAACAGTTCTCACGCTCTCATCAAGATTTGTGAACTTGTCCAAGAAAGCTCGGAAGAACTTCTGAACACCAATATCTGCAGGGTTCAATGAATCCAATCCGGTCAATTGTTTGGCAATCTGCAATTGAGAGATTCGATTGTGGGCATAAAGCGAAAACTTTACTCACGTCGGCAAAGAAACTCTTGCCCTTCTCTCCAAGGTCAGTCATGCCGGATGCTGCGCTTTCTCCAGCTGCATTTCCAGCACCAGCTACTTCGGCTGCTTCGGCAGGGTAGGACATAGCCGTTCCTACTGTCAACAAAAGGATGATAGTTGACCGCCACATTCTAGAAATCAAGGACTTTTAAGGATTTTAGAACAGTGTTCAGGCGAACCTGCGTCTGTTCTTGTAAAAACTGATTGAGAAGTTTCAACTGAGCTACTCCCCAAGACCAATTTCTTGTATGCGAAAAACCCCTTGTAAAACGTCTTCGATGGCAAAAACGCGGGGGTGGTAATCGGGCTGATACAGAATTCGACGTTTTTTGAAAAAAAGGAGCATAGTGTGAGTTACGAGCTTTACGCTGCTGCGTTTCTTGCGCATGTTTTGTCGCCTAACGCTCCTCCATCATACGATTCATTCCTGACTGAGAGATTCGGATTTCGACCCTCGCCTAGTACGTACCGTACTCGTCCGAATGAACCAATCAGCGTCTTCGAGTACGGTAATGGGCGAGAGGGATTTTCTCACTAATGAATCGCATGAATGCCGTTGAACAGTGACTCCGTCAAGTTCTCTCAATCAGTCTCCATAAGAAGCGGTGATCAGATTTGCTGGGAATGTGAAGTTTATAGTGATCGTGATTGAGAGGTTCAAAATTGAAGTCGCCCACTACCGTAACCTTCGCGAGAGAGCCAATCGAACGGTAATGGGCGAGGTGGACTTTCTACTGTTGCATCACATGATGCCGGCATAATGCCTTTGAAATTTGATAACAACTTCAGAGATATTGTTTGAATGAATGAATATGATGGATCGAGGAAAAAAATTCGACCGAAAATGAAGAGAGATTTTTTAATATGTGAACACCGCATCCTGTTGATGCAAGAAGAACACTAGATTGCGTACCGTGAGTTGTTATCTGAATTGACATTTATTCAAAGCAGTTGTTCTTCGACAATGGCAACAATAAACACATCAAAAATCAGATAACAAGTAAATAAAGAAATTGAGTAGGTCTAGACCCGCACAGCTGTTTTGTATTAAGGCAAAATACAAAATAGCGGTAATGAAATGATGTCTTCGAGTGCATTCAATAAATGTGGTAGAGTAGTTCACATAGTAGACAAAATAAGAGTTTGAGACCTCTTACATATTGAGCAAACATCAGGTGGTGTCTCTAACGCAAGAAGAGAAGTAAAGTGCTCAAAATAGAAAAACATATCCCGGCTCTATTTTCTAATCCCAAAATCCCAATCCGAGCCTCAGCTCACAACGATTTGTGAAAAATAACTTTAGAAACTGTCTGGCTGGATTCTTTGCTTAAAGGCTTTGGATTCAAAGACCGAAAAATTGTGAGCAGCCTATGAAGTGTATATGTGCCCCACCTCAGACGTGGAGTAGATTTAGTCGAAAAACAAATTATTAGTCGTTAGTCGTTAGTCGTTATGCGTTGTGTGTTTAATTAGTCGTTTATGCGGCCGTAAAGGTGCACTTCGGGGTACGCATGTTTTGGAGTACCAAACAATCTAGAAATTTTTAAATGCTAGGACATTAATCGCAAGTGGTTGTATGGAACCCTGATACAAAACTTATACTCCCTTACTCACGGGATCCTACCGTATTGGACACGGTATTTAGATGGATTGATTTTGGCTACAAAGCTGCTTCTACTTAAGTAGTAAAAGCCCATTTTCATTCAACTACCTATAAAGAAGATCCCTTGAGCAATTTGAGGTAAATTTTGCTCTATACAACCATCTACGACGGAATTTTGAGGCATAGTATGCGATATTTACATTTCGGACAATATTCATGAGAACGTAAATTCGTAAATTCTCGACTTCGTAACTCTGCGTTTGTTGTAAAATGAGGGCTGAGGCATGCATCGATAGGACAGTTCCTAGTGACTTTGTGTTTTTAGAAGCAAGTAGGCATTTCTCGCAGATACGCGAAAGGTAAAGCCGAGTTTGCAAGCTTTTGTGGTTTAGGTACAGCTCCCTCACCATATATTTGCCAAATGATCTGTACTCCACAGAGACTACGATTCTCGTAAACAGCGTGTTCGAACTTATATAAGCAAAGTTTGCTCGTAAAGATCGTTAACATTTTAGCCAAAACCATTGGTGAGCTTCACGAGCAGGAGAAAATCACAAATTTGATTTGTTGGAAGAGCCATCCATGTTTAACTGACCTGCTGGTTATAAATATCACATCTGCTTATCAAGATAGCTGTATAGTGTAGGGTTACAGTGATGATTTGGGTAGATACCATTTTTTACGGATTTCACACGCTTAGTGTCTCTTCTGAAGATATACACCCGGCTATTCTCTAGTAATTGATGATCTGCGGAGCAAGCTCTGTTGAATTTTGCTTAAGGGAACCTTCCATGTAAAGGCTACTGCGTGAAAAAGGGACACAAGCAGCAAAGCAGCATTAGTTGAGCGGGTGCGAACGCGACGCGCGCGCACCCTCACCGCTGTAAATTCTGCGCCGCTTGAACTGCAGCTAATAAAGCCGCGTCCGCACCCGAAGATACTGTGTCTTCGTCATGCAGCAGCCTATATGTGTGATATGCGCTGCGTTACATCTTTGCGAAAAGACGTCCACAGAAAATTTTTAAGAATACTGGAAACAGAATATACGACATGTCGCAAAATATTTCCATGTTCCATAAAAATATTCGCCTTGATAGCTGAGTACAATGCTTCTTCCAGATTCATCCTGAAGGAGGTTACGACCCTGCGCAATTTGCGTACTTTGCGTGGTCCTGCGAAGTCAACGGAATGTCGAGCGAGCACCAAGATATCGCTGAATGTTGCGACGTTTCCGGAAATGTTGCACATTCTGTGAGCGGTATTGTACCTGCTCCCTTTCCTGCGATCCATTGTGTATCCGCAAGGCTCATATTAACTGCGATTCTAATCATTTTGCTGATTGAGAGTCGTAAGTACGGAAAGTTTAGTTCATATTTTTATCCATTATAAGGTTTATAATTTTGAGAAGTATCAAAATCTCAGCTGCAGCCGAAGTGCTGACTTCAAAGCTTCAGAATTCTCGTATAGCAAGTGAGACAAGCACGAGCTCTAAGACTTTGGCAAATTTATTTTTGAACTTTCCTAGAGAATTCTAAGAATGAGATAGAGCTGCCGATAGCATTCTAGTAAACAAGAGTTCTATATAAAGGACCAGAGCTTGAATGAGGGCAGTTTTCATCATTGGGCATCTTAAGTGCGGTTGCGATTGGATCCTCCAATCCATACGGGCCACAATGCTGCCCATTATTAACGTGACACTCGGTGTACGTACTCGGTTGCTTGGTCCAGACTGGAACTCATCTATTATCACTTCAGAATCCATATACATTTGTAATACATATATTTCTGTTTACACTTTGGACTACTAAATGCTGCTGTCGTAAACGGCGAAAACGTCCACCTCCGAAGAAAGGATTCGCTGTGGTGAGTATGTCCGTTTCTTCAAGGATCTCCTAGGAACAGAGTTCTTTTTCTAGAAAAATCCCGCAAAAAATGTCACTAAGGAAAAATTTGCAAAGCCGACGGCACTTTCATTCACCTCCTCATCCACACCATCTTTCCCAGTAGAACTCCTAGCCACACCACTGGCAAAGACTCAAACAGAGGAAGAGCTTTTTACGGTAGGGAATTGGCTGCAAAAATCTGTTTGAAGCATAAAAATGATGTATTCAGCCCAAGGACGTGAGTTTCGAGAGGATACCGATGCCTATCAGAATGAAGTATGACAAAAGACGAAGGTCAAAATCGGCTGAGCGTATCGAGAGTCGCAAGTTGTTGCCGTATCCAGAAGTGAAACCTCCAACTCTTAGTGAGAAAAGAAGGCACGAGCGAGAACTGGAGAAAGATAAGAAGGAGAAAATAGCTTCTGGATTCTACCAGGTGAGATGTTTTGTGCACAAAGACTTTGCAAATGGATGGGTCATCATTTCAGTCACGCTCTGATGAAGACGATACCTTGGAGAAAGTGAGTAGTCTTAAGGAGGAGTACACAGAGCGTAGTCGCAGACCGCGGAAGAGAGGGTTGGCCAAAGAGAAAGCCGAGAGGAAGGACGAAAGAGAAGCACCATTAGAGGCTTTACTTCCTCCGCTGCCACCACCTCCTCCTGCACCTACGTGAAGCACGAATGATACTGAAGTGTTGCTCGAGTTCGCGCTCCGAGTTTAAGTCTATTGTGTCCAGAACATGTCATTTAGATGTACAAAATATAAAACACGAATACAGTGTACAATCTTACAGTTAGAGAATAAATTTGAGAGCTGTGTTGTTCTGGTCTAAACACTGTCTTGAATTTCAAGAGACAAACACAAAGAACTGCAGTGATTAGCATATTGCTAGCTGATTTTTTTCGGATGGTGGAACGATTGCTGTTCTTAACACAGTATGTAATAACATGCGCACATTGGCGGACCGAGAGGGTAGGGCGGGGAAGTCCCCCCCCCCCCCGAAAATGATTCGCGAAATTTCTGAAAATTACTTACATGGGTTATAAAATTGTGCAAGTGATTTGTTTATTCTTGTAAATAAGTGAGAAATTCTCAAATTTTTTTAAAAACTAACTTTGCAAAAAACTTTTTTTCGGGAAGTGGTTGCTCCCAAGCCTCCTTTTTCTGGATTTTAAGGTTATGGGCCCGCACAAATTTTGAAAAGCATCCCAAAAATTTTTTCGGAGTGCATGGCTAACGCCATGCATCTTCAATTAAGAAAATTTTTGCCGTCCCCTCCCGGATGGAAATCCTGGGACCGCCACTGCATGCGTAAAAGACCAGTGGTCATTTTTGACAGATTTGGACATTCTCGGTTACTATCATAATTGAGTATTAGAGCCTCGATCTAGGACTATCGCGCAAACCGAACCTCTGAAATGCCTTTCTAAAAATACAAAAGCTCTCAAATCACCAGAGCTTCGTACACCGCCCAGTCCCTCGCGAAACCTCCTCAAATGAAATCTCCCTACACCCTGACACGTTTTCACATGGCAAGCACAACTATAGTCGTTCTCTCCTCACTAGAGACGTATTCGAGGCACACAGCTATCTACTTTGGCTCATTTTGTAAACGGCCATGTTTCTGGCCTTGGAGCGCGGTAAGCCCCCCGGACAGTTATACACTCTGTAATTCAGCCTGTATAACCTTCTATTCTTCAGCGTGTACCCACTTCCTCCTTTGCCGTGGCAGTTCACCTCAACATTGCGATTCAGATATTCCATCGTCCATAATTTTCAATTATATGTTCTCATTTTACCTGAACTTTTTTAGCTGTTGTGAAGGTTTTCATCAAAAACACGATTCTTTCATAGTGCACATGATTATCAAAAATACTTTGTTGTAACATCTTAAAGTTTAACATTGTTTTGCAAAAGAAACTCGCATAAAGAAATGACTTGACAGAATATTCGGAAGAGCAAGCTTGGCATTGCCTTGAAATAGAAAAGTAGACGAAGATAGTTGATTTAATCTAGCTGGGTGTCTCACCCTATAATGCAATATTGTTATTTCCAATCATTTGCTTATTCTATGTATCATATGAACTATGTACTAGCCGAGAGCGGGTACAATGCGTGATCTCGGATGCTCATCTATAAAACAAGGTTTTCCTGATCTGGGACCTTGCTGTACACATGAAACAACAAAAAACGACGCGGATTTTAGATGCATTATTCGCGGCTGATTTGTTCTGCTAGTAGGTTGCTTGGTTCACTCAGCCAGCTGGCTCTGGGCTTAGTTGGAAGTCTGTTTCAGTAGTTAGTAAGCAGCCAATTCTCTAGAAGAAAAGTTTTTTGTTGTTCGTGAGCACAGCGGATCATCCTTAGTGATTTCTAGAGTCGCATCGAATTTATCAGACTCATATCAGCATATTCTTCAAATATCTCTCAGTGAAAATAAAGCTCACAACTGATAGACAGCCAGGAAAACAGCTCATTATCAAACGTAAATAAAACTGAGACTATGTAAAGATATGAATCGCAATACTATGTCGTCAAAATGTAGAAACCAAGGTTAATATCCTCATTTTGATCAACCCACTGATCGAAAACATCCACTCAGTATTTCGACAATTGGAATCTCCCATATCCTTCGATTTTGGCAGTTTTAAGTGTGATTGATAAACAAAACTCAAAAAAGTCCAGGATGAACTGCTACGACCGTATGAGAGAAGAGAAGGACGGAGGAGGAGAAGGTATTGATAACAGGCTAAAATACAGGAAAGAAACTCCAAGTTGGAGGAGCTTGCCGCGCTCCATGGCCGAAAACACGACCGACGAAATAAGCCAAAGTGGATAGTTGTGTGCCTCGAATACGTCTTCACTAGAAACCTAGTGGACCAATTCGAAATTTAACTAGAGCAGCCGGTTGCGACAAGGCGCGGCACATTCAGTCGTTAGTTCAATGTCAAACAGTTTTTCCGATAAACATGCCATTTTTTGAATGCTACCGATCTCCTTATAATGAGATTGGAGCTTTTGTTGCTACTGACTGATGTTTCGTGCTGCTATGCTCGTTCCTTCAACTGGATTTCAGGTTAAGCTTGAGAAACGACTAGCAATAAGATCGAAAACTGTGCTAATGAAATCTTTTTTCCTACAAGTAACATGTCTCAAAGCGTTACTTTAATGAACTTCTGTCAAAAACTCCCCATGTGCATTGTTTTCCAACCTTACGTGAAGATAGAGCCAAAGAAACAAGCGTAAATACGAAACATCGCTAAACAACAACAAACTCGTCAACTCTGATTAAGAACCCTTTGAAACAAAAAACCATGCAACGACGAGAAATTACAAAAGAATACTGCATGGCTTAAGACGGATTTGACGGTGCCGCGCCCTGTTGCAACCGGCGTGCTCTACTTAAATTTCGAATTTGTCCACTAGGTGTCTAGTGGGTGGAGGACGACTATAAAAGCCTTCACCTGTTGAAGCTCTTTCGGACAAGAGCGCCAGAGACACTCGCCCACAGCTCTCACAGAATAGTTTCAAAAGCAAGTTTTTGAGTAATTCACCCTTTTCGAGTTCCATACGCGGAGACAGCGCCATGAAAAGCAAAAACAGGAGGTGGAGAATCTGCCTTTGAAGACAGCGTCATAGCTCCTGTCTCTACCTAGCGGAAGACTTGCCTTGAGTTGCGGTGTTTTGCACGGGAGCCCATCTCGTGGATGGTGGATCCGCACGTAACGGCATGAAATCCGATACAAGTCGTCCTCCAAATACGGTAGTGGGGTCTGCTTCTGGCGAATATCTCAACCACGAGTGCATCATGTGCTCTGCCGCCTAAGCGTGTCTTAATTAGACCTCCAAAATCAGTTTTCGGGAGTGACTCCCATGTGTCCAGATCTACGTGGACGCTGCTGAGCTCTTGCCTTCTATTGAAATTGAGTCCAATAGAACTAAGAGCAGTTTGGTTTTGCTTTTGCCAGGATTCGGCAGAGGTGGCAAGCGCTTTAATTTTCCGCTTAACTTTGCAACACTATTGTGATATGCCCTTTATCGTATCCACAGAGAAGCAAGTAGAAAATATTTTTATTTTTTATTCTTATTTTATGCATACACTCGTGGTGCACCATTAAATCGAAATCGAACAGAAAATCAGGTAACACAGAATTAAGACAAAGAAACCATCCAATCCTCAGTCACAGAAGGAAGAAGAGATATAAATGGAAAACAAAACTAACCAAGACAAATACCGAAACTCTATAATGACGATGTAGCCATTAATTGCAGCATAGCAAAGGAGAAAGCGTTATGTTCAGAATAGTCCGTAGAATCTTGCTTCTTCTAAAGTTAATGAAGACCCTGTTTTTGGGTGTCAGCGAGCCTCCCGGTAAAAGCTAGCTGACGTGACCAAGGCTGAAGTTGCTTTACAAGAGAGCAAGATTCACTGGAAGTTGTAGGGATGAACGTCTATCAACTCTGCGCGACTGATATCCCACAAAGGTGGAGGTGGGACTGGGCTAAGGTGAGGGATATGATGTGAATGAGGCTGGTTGATCTGATCATTAGTGGAAGCACTATGGTTAGTAACACAACAAACAATGCAAATAGCAGTCATTCTCTATCCTTGTTGTGGACTATCCAAGCGAAGCGAACCAGAAAGCATAGCGTCAAATGATAGAAGGACGAACTGAGGCAGTACGAAGAACACAAGCACCACATTTGAACAAGACTCATCTAAAAATCAGAGATATCAAGAAGCTGAAGCACATTCACATCTAACAATTTTTTACGAAAAATTTTGGAGTTTTCGCTGGATATGATATGATTTGGTAATGCAGAAAACCATCTTGAGGTTCGATAGAAAAAGGAATTGAAAGTCATCAAAAGATGTTTTCTTCCTATTTTGTGATATTGCAAACCAAACCTACCTGTTCGGTCACTGCACGGTCTAAAAAACCAGTATTTACTGGCTTTTAGGTTAGTTTCTATATTCAGAATCCGAAAGCATAGTACAAATTCGTTAACAACACGCCTATACTTCAGACTATGGAGGTGTAACATATCGAGACGGATACGATAGGTGGGTAAGGCATGAGGATATCCTGGATTGGGAAAGCATCGATAAAAGAATCCTCGTGAAAGTCTTTTGAATTTTTTCAACTTTATCAATGTTTCTTTTCAAAAATGGACTCCAAATGGGCGATGCATACTCGAGATGAGGTAACACGTAACTTTTGTACAATCGCAAGAAAATTTCCGGATCATTACTATGTATATTTCTAAAAATTGTAAAAAGCGTTGAAGACAACCTTTTTATGACAGTATTTACATGAGTATCAAAAGTAAGAGAATTCTCTATCATAACGCCAAGATCGCGAACTGAATTAGAGATTTCCAGATTGATACCATTGTAGTTGTACGCACAACACTGGGAATTCCCAAGGTGCATTACCATAGTCTTGGAGGCATTTACAGGAATACCCCATTCTCTAGACCATATCTCCATTCTTTTTATGGATGAAGAGACCGCCGTGAATGCTTCACTCTGTTGATTGAGGTCGTAGCAAAAATATATTTTAATGTCGTCTGCAAACATCTGAATTTTCAGATTCGGATGGGTTTTCAGATAGTTAGGCAATTTCGCGACGTAAGTAAGGAAAAGCAACGGCGAGAGAATGCCACCCTGGGGTACGCCACTACTACAATGATAAAGATCTGAAAAGTCTTCTGCAACACGAACGGTCATTCCCCTATCATGTAAGTAAGATGCTAACCAAGACAGGAGAGTCCCTCTTATGCCGTAGTTTTCTAGCTTGTATAGAAGTTTGCTCTG